GCTTCCGTGATCAAGTGGATACAGCACTCGCCTCCCGTTCCAAAGTTCAACCGGTTGTAAATGAGTACCTAACTCCGCAGGTGGGGAAAATGAAGGCAAGTGAGTGCATGCTGGCACGCTACCTCCTTGCACACCTAGAAGCCAATGGGACGTTCCCGAACACATCCTGCCGCCCCCCCCACCCCCCGGCACACACTTGGGCGCTATGTGACCTTGAAGCAGCTGTGACAATCAATTTTGCATATTTGCATAACATTAATATACAACGTACATGGTATAAAATTTTTAAAAGAAAATAATAAAAAAATTACCTTTGCTTAAGGCTGAATATCTTCATTCCCTTAGCTGCAGTCTTTTTCCCCCACTGTGTGTGTGACTTGATGTGCCCATGCATACTTTTCTGTAGATCGGATCTTTTTCAGTATTGGCTGATTGCTCTTTAGAAAGGTATAGAAGTCACTGCAAGATGTTTCTCGGAAGTTGTACTGTACAGTCATAATGCCTTTCATTGTTTCAACACTCAATTTGGCTGTGGCAACAAGCGACAAACCCACAACAAAGACTGAGATCAAACACTGTGACTGCAGGTTAAAGACTGGCCAACCACCGGTCACCATCATAGTTGTCAACACACGTAAATAATACAGCGAAAGTGGCTAGATTATGGTTTAAAATTGCTAAAATGCCTTAAATGCAGGACAAGAAAAACAAATGCTACAGTGTAAAAAAAAGCCATAGGAAAAAAAATGGTATACTTTCATTTCATTTATGGCTGTAATAGTACTGAATAAAAAAAAATATATATACATATAATAATGCGCGTGGATGAAGAACAAGGAAAAGCAGTACAGAGCACTACATGCTAGCCCAAAAACTGCTAGCAGCTAAGTTGACAACACCGTACAGGCGTACACGTGACTTATCAGCTGACGAAAACTGAACGAGATCTCTATATTACCGTTTCATGTTTTTTTCCGAGGAGAAAATGATGGAAGCTGAAATTCCGGACTATTGAAGAATTTTAAAAATTACTTCCGGGTGAAGATTTCGAGACCTAAATGGAGGACATGTCTGGGAAAATACGGACGTACGGCAACCCTCCCACTTACACTGTAGTGGATTTCTCCCCTACAAACGCTGTTTGTCGCTGAGTAGCCGACCCCGCGAATTCTCCAGTGCATGCCTCGTGGTCTAGGTCAACCAGCGCCGCCCACGGAGCAGGGGTCAACTATCTACCCACGCCTACCTCCACTATAAAAGACCTGACCTCGTGGTGACCGCTCTCTTTCTACCTACACCAACCAGCCAGCAACACCTCCTCCTCCTCCGCCTGCCTGGCGGTCCTCGCTCCCGCCGGAGAGCATGGCGACCCACAAGCTGTCCTCCTCTGAGCATCCTCACCAACCAGCTCTCTCTACATCACGCTTGTAACCACGCTGCCACTTCCCAGCACCAAGCTGCATTGTACATCCAATATAACATGTATACAGAGAGCACATTGTGAGTTTCCTTTCTCCATCCCATCCTGAGTGTGAACCCAAACATAACGTACCCCACAACACTATCGGCATATACAATAATTAGATCTAAAAAATGATGATTAATTCAAAGCTAGTTCCATAGGAAACCATTTTGTGAAACTTATAATACATCTTTGTGTGCGGCATAATTGGATGATCAGCATCAAAACAATATACAATAAAGGCTGAGAAGTGATAACAAATTACAAATCCCTCCTCCCCCTAACTAAAGTTCCTAAAATTTGCCAGAGAACATCATAGCACCTGGCTTGGTGCCAGGCACTCCTTAAGATAATGACAAGAGATGAAGATCTCAGTTGCCTGGTAGGAAATCCCGATAAGTGTTAGTTAAGATAGAGTAAATTGCGCACTGACACCTTCAGGGTTTATATCTACACATGCATTGGGCAACCGAGTATATTAAGTGTATGCCTTATTATATCTGACAACGCACCAGTTGTATATTGCCAATGGAAACTTAATATTATTTTTTGTGTATTACCTGTGATAAAGTGAACACTCAAGATCATACTACATATATAAAATAGCAGTACCCACTATCATTATAATGTATAGCTATGTAGATTATACCTGAAAAAATCTAATTTAGAGTAAGTTTGGTGGAAGGTAAGGGTGGGAAGTTCAACCAAATCTCCAAAGAACAGGTTGTCGGAAGAATCTGATATTGAAACGATGGGCTGTTGGAACAATGAACTGCAGGGACAATGAACTTCAGGAACAATAAACTGTAGGAACAATAAACTGCAGGATCAATGGGCTGTTGGAACATTGGACTGTATTATGAACTGATTGGTGGCAGTGTGCTAAAATAGCTTAAGTTACCCGACATAAGAAAGTAACTAAAAAGTTACTTAGCACCAATTAAATAACAGTAAATGGGTACATAAGGATTCTATTCCAATACTGTCTAGTATTAGAATCCTTGTAATCACTACCACACCGGTGTCAGTGTGATAGTGTTGCCAAGGGCGAATGACATTATACTTATCCCGAATGACCCGTTTCTGTGCCTCGCGTCTAAGGAATTTCTAAAAAAAAAAATTTTTATACGTTTATCTGTCTAAGCACCTATCAGTTAGTTTATCAGTGTCCCAGAAGCTTTAATAATTCATAAGCCGTTTCAGTGCGTCGAGATTGTTTGTATGTAAATGCCATTTAAGTTGTATGCTACGACATCTAGTGCTATTAATTACATTTACTGTGACCGTAGTTATATAATGGCAAAATTAACTCGATTATGTTCGACACCACGGATCGAAATTTGAGGGATGGCTGAGAAGGATTTCAATGGAAGACGTGTGCAGGGAATCGGAGAGTTGGAGACTAGTGAGCTTGTACTGGTTCCAGGTTACAGGTATATAATGAGTGAGCATCAAGAGAGATTCAGAGTGAGCCTGAGCTTCCCCTGAGCAAAGATCAAAACAGAACCATGCAGAACTCTTGCGTTCTACTGAGGAGTGGCAACTTAAGCTTCGTAAGTATAGAGTTTAAATCATTAAGTATCTGATCTCAACTGTAATGTCTTAAGTTGAAAAAAAGTAAAAACAAAAGAAACGAATAAAAAGATTTTGTTACGATTTTAACGATTTAACGCTAGATTTTGTGTATGTTCCCGGAATGTGTGTGGTACTGCTCCTAAATGAGTCCAGCCTCAACAACAATAATAATAATCCAGAGTCGGACTTCGGACTTGCCACTGTGACATGACAATTACCCTGATTTTTAAATTCTAACTACTCTGGAGCAACGACTTGTGCACAAGGCGATAGGGCGGGGATGTTTTTGCCACGGTCTCTTTTCTCTATTAACTAATGGTATCGTTGACATCAGGAAACAATCAAATGAGTGCTTTAAAAAAATGATAAATCTGTTGACAAATGCATAGGTCATAGATGATTATCAGTGCTAGTGGGGTGGGATGTGTCCCAACTCATAATGAAATGACACAGTCCTCAAGCAGTGCACAGTTAGCCTCTGTAAGAATCCCTTTATGAAGTAGTTTAAGGACTGTACAGTACTTGGCATCACCCCAATAGTTGTATTTATTTACTTTATAACATAAGTTTTTCCCTTCATAATCTTTGATTTACTACTGAGAATAATTGTTGTTTTACTCTGCAGGAGCAGTTGGCCGTCCCTGACCTGACTCCTAACCGTAAGTGAACCGCTCCCGTTACCTGTCTGTTAGAACTCAGAATTTTTAGTCCGAGGAATTTTGTCTACTGTACTATTGTTTTGCTAGTTATAATTTTCATGGTGGAGCGTTTAAGGCTTTTGTCACACCCGACTTTTAAGATATATTTTTTCATCATCTCAATATAATGTTCAGTACAGATATGCGATCAGCTGGGTTAACTCCTTGTAGCACTCAGACTGTTCTTATTTTTTTGTGAGAATTTTGTTGTGTGAGCTATCAACAGCCTATTTAAAGGCATATGTAAACCGGGAGCTTTAAGCAAATAACTACACTTGTTTAGTAATGGACGAGTTGACGGTCGGAATTTTTTCGTAAAATGGCAGGTCAATAGGTAAAGAAAATGCTTAAATTCACTATGGTAATGATATTTTTAAATAGATTGGGCCAAAAATAAGGGTTAAAGTTGCTAAAAAGTCACGTTACTGCGAAAAGTTCTGATTGGTTGTGACGTCACTGGTTGGGGTGAGCTTCCCAGCACCAGCGGGACCGTGCGGGAGTCAGCCAGCTGTAGTTGTCCAACTTTCTCGGCTGATCGGCTCAGTAAATAAATGTTATTAGATAATTAATTGTGCTTTATTGTACAACACAGTAATATTATTTTGAATATATAAATATTCCTAAGTACATAAATTAATTCAATGGATATTAGCTGCCCATACAACAAATTTCATAGTATAAACTTTCCAAACAATATTGGTATTATTTTGGTTTTGGTCATTTGGGGAACCTTAAGATTCTAACTATGGGATTAAGTACTTTAAACAATAAGACACATTATCCCTACAGTATTTCTGTAGCAACTTTTTTTCGGTCGCATAAGAAAATACAGGGTATAATGAGTTACAAGGTTAGCTTAACATACATCGGTAAGGGGTGGGTGGGGGGGTGGCAGTAAATCAAAACTAGTGATTTCCGATAGAATTGATGGTCAAAATCGTTCAAAACAAAGTCCAGACAATGTCATTACTTCTAAATTTATTCGTATCTCTATCTGGTACTGATATACTCTGTAAATGCACTGAAAAAAAAGAGAGTGTCAGGTAAGAGTACATGACAGCAGAGCTGGTGTGAACATGGGAGTGTTTTATATCCAAAAGACCGTAAGAATGGAGGACCATACTGTGCAGTCCCATTTACACCCAACCCTTATCGCTAATATATCCATCCAACCTATGTTTGAAGCTGCTCTTCACTGCACATTTCTTCACTCACGAAATGTCCATTACTTTACCATAAATTTGCCTGAAAGTGGAATTTGGGGTCTGAAGAGGCCATCCTTTCTAGTACCTACGACTGCATCCCAGCGGTGTTTGAAACTAGTGACGTCATTGCAAATGGCGGTCCTGTTTCCAGAGAAATAAAGTTATCTTGACTATTATAGAAGGACTTTAAACTTTGATTACAAATTATATATACCATATCACTACGGACGTGGCAGAGTGTATTTCTTGTGTTTGCCCAGAACTGTCAACTCGTCCATTACATGAGTGTATCAGCAAGTAAAAATAATAAGCTATTCAACTCTGCTGTAGTAACTGTTCTAGGCAGCATATATGCTATTAATCAGCATATTTGTGTTTGATGCAGAGGTGCTGGTCCGCATGGCTAAGGTGGGGCTGTGCGGGTCTGACCTCTCCCTTGTGTACAAGGGTCAAATGGCGGACTTGACTTTGCCTGTGACATCCGTCATAGGTGTTGGTCATGAAAGCTCTGGAGTTATCGCCAAGTGTGGCTCTGCCGTCAAGCACCTCAAACCTGGTGAGTACACATACGTGTTTTGGTTATACAGTACATTTAGCAATTGACTGGCTTGATGATGTGTGTGGTGAAAGGTGTAATTGTGTATGTTTGGTCACAAATTATGTAGCAATGTGTGTGTGTGTGTGAGCAGGTTTGGAAAATATAATTCAGCACAAATAAAAAAAGAATGTAATAACTGATTCGTTTAAAAAACACCAAAATACACTGGAAAAACATATTGTTCAATCACTAGGGACTCATCTCCTAAAGTAAAAATTTACCTAAAAATAATACATGTATCACCCTTAAAGCATGTGATATCACATTGTCATGGGTACTGGACAACTCGTACCCAATTACGAGACAGTATATATATATATATATATATATATATATATATATATATATATATATATATATATATATATATATATATATATATACATATATATATATATATATGATATATATATATATATATATATATATATATATAGTGTGTGTGTGTTTTGCAAAATCAGTTATTGTGCAAAATGATTGATTTTGCCCCAAAAAAAAGAAGCATGTACTGTACTGTGTACAGCATATATAAATGGTTTGTTGAGGTATGGTCCAGATTACAGCTTGAGCAGACTATCCAAGGACATAACTTCCATCTCATTCGACTTATTTACTTTATTATGGATTCGCGATTTCACATTTAAGTTCAAAAGATATAATTTTAAAACTGGTCGAGCTACTTGATTTCCACCATCACTTTCGCTGTATAGTTGGGTAACAACACCCTCATTTACAGAATAATCAACTGCATGTCACTACAATCTACATCTCTGACATGTCAGTTAATTTCTAGACACAGCGCCACTTCATACAATATACTACTTGAATTAACACAGAATTGTCTGAATAATCCAATTGTAAAGGTACTCATGTGTCATGAAGAGTTGAATTCTACTGCTGGAGCATTCTCTACTCAAATTTTAACTGTTTTAAATGACAGTCAACAGGCCATAGCACAGGAAGTTGCAAGACATCAGGTTATCAATGGAACACAGATGCTTCTTGCAAAAATATTCAAATTAATTGACAAGCACAAACCAAGGTGCCAAATAAGCTATGGAGAAGTGCAATAAAAATAAATTCCACAAAGCAAATTTTACACTGCAATGAGCACCACAATACTGTATCGTCATATACATCATGCAATTACACATACAGTGGTCCTTCGGTTAACGAGCACAATCCATTCTAGAAGGTAGCTCGTTAACCGAAACCATTGTTTCAATGGGTTTTTGGGTAATTGGTTCCAGCTCACCGAAAATTACCTAAATTCAACAAAAAAGGTAGAAAAGTACATTTACTTTGAGGTGTGTATGTAGAAGGCTCGTGGATGATGATGGGAATTAGAATGGGGGTGGAGGAGAAGGGAGAAGAGAAGGCATTGGGGTGGAAGAGAAGTCACCCCATGGTGCCATTTCACCCATAAAATTTTAGTTCTCTTGGTGTAATTCAAGATTATTTTCTTTAAATCAACACTGCACTGCATTATATATTGTCAATATGTAAAATAAATTTAAAAATGACCAATAATTTGCTTGGAAACACAGAAAAAAAGCGTTTAGTTGAAGAGAGTCTCAAGCAAGATGTTGCCTCCACTGAAAAGACACAAAGACTGACGCCTGTATGCTGTGTTGGCAGGCTGGATGGCGTGCCACAAACTAGTGACCCTACCTTCAATTATGTTCAATAATTGTTAAAATAACTAAAAAAAATTAATATTAAACTTTTAAAATTATTGAATAGTATAAACTTCTTGATATTTACTAAAAGGGTAAGGAATTTAAGCCCTAGAACCAATTACTGTATTGGCGGACTAATACAGTACTACAGCTGGTGGACCGCCAAATGCAAGCTAAAACATGTGGAGGTCGGCTCGTAAGAAACTCGTTAATCGAGGGATTGCTCGTTAACCGAAGTTAAGAATTTTATGGAAGGTAACTCGTTAACTGAGGCGCTCATTAACCGATGGACCACAGTACTGTAATCTATATTAAATCTGGTAAGGGTGGAGCAGATGGCTAGCAGCAGAAGGAATTATTAATTTTTTTAGAACATCTGTGGACAAAATTAACGTAATCGTACAACTCCTTCTGGTGTTAGCCATCTGGTCCACTATGACCTTAATTCCTTACATATATATTTAATCCATTACCATTTACAGTACCTTTGACCAGTATTCATCTTAAAGTTACGATAAAAGTACAGTACTTGTACAGTAGTTCAAAGTCAGGTTTTACTCTGATGACTGCCATTTTTTATCACTGTACTGTACTGGAACTTTCAGCACCAAGTACTTGAGTGTAGTAAGAATAGGTTATGAATCTCTTGAGGGTAAAATAATCAAAATTAGAATATTTAAGCCAAGGAATTCCATAAACAAGATGATTCATCTTTGTTAAGGTGACCGCGTGACCATCGAGCCTGGTAATAGCTGTCGAAACTGTGACTTGTGTTTGAGCAACAAATACAACTTGTGTGACAAGTCCTCCTTCCATAATAATGGGGCCCTATATCCAGGAATGCTTGCTCACTACTATACAAGCACTGCTGACTTGTGCTTCAAGTAAGGCTCAACTAGAATCTGTAAATAATATTGAATGTGACAATACCATAATAATATTTATGATACCAGATATAAGGATACTAACAGTTTTCAGAGAATGTCTTCTTTATTTTACTTGTAAACTTGATTAACCAGTATCTCAAAGAATCTCATTTCAAAGGGAAAAAAATTTAAGTATGGTTAACATTCAGTAGTGATCATGCATGTACGGTAACTCTATTTCGACTTTTAAATAGGAAGATAGAGCAAAAAAATAAGAATACTGTACACTACTTTAATACCCTATAGCTAAAAAATATTATGACTGATTCCACTTATAACTGGAATATACTGTAGTCTGAATCTCATTCTGAATATTTTAATTTGTATGCCCAAGTATTATTAAGCTTTGAAAAAACCTTGAAAATACCCTTAATGAATATTGTACAGTACTTCCTTACTAATATGATTTTACAACAGGCTGCCTGACAATGTGAGTGAAGAGGAGGGTGCCCTTATTGAGCCTCTGGCTGTTGCAGTTCATGCTTGCCGTCAGGCAAATGTTGAACTTGGTTTACCTGTACTCATTTGTGGTGCTGGACCCATTGGACTTCTCTGCCTCTTGACTGCCAAGGCCATGGGTGCTACCAACATCCTAGTTACAGGTAATTTAAGAAGAAGCAGGGCCAGTAAGCTCCTTGCTTTTTACAAGTGATATTACTAGATGCTGTCAAAGGTGCTAACCTCACCTTCATAGGTTAGATTATCAGGAGCAGAGTCCATCAACATTACAGGTGATATTAACCTCTGGGCTTCAGTTCATGTCATATGACGTGCATCTGTAGAGTTTTGGGTCACGTCATATGACGTTTTGACCTTTCCTGGGCCTATTTGAATAAAAACAGTGGGCCTGGCTAGATTATGTTGCCAAGTAGGTATTTCTCTTTCACTCACACATGAGAGCCTCTGAGTTTCTTTTCAGTAGTTTCTCAGCTTTTGTAATGTAGGACTCTTGCCCTTGACTCACTTCACCATGTGTTTCTACCCCCAAGCACATTTACAGAACAGTATCAAGATCAATTCCTGGAGCAGTAATAATGATTGTTAATAGTGCAAGTAGTAATAAGTGAAACAAGTGTCCTGTAACTCATTCTGTACGTCCTACAAATTAGTATTGTTTACCCCGTACTATTGCGTCACACGGGCCAATTCTCAAACATTCTCGAATCTTCCTAGCCTCTGTTATACCAACCTGTGGTAAGGACAGGTACTTTATTCATTTCCAGTTTATATCATGCATGGCCAGTTTGTAAAACTAGAATTGTTTTTTAGATGTTCCCGAATATACCTGCATGGGGGAGGGGGGGGGGGATGCCAACCATAGCCTAGGGGTTAATCTAAAGACTAAATGACAACAATAGCTTCATCTTTCACCAGACAGTAAGGGATGCAGCAGCTACCTGTACTAATTTTATCACTGATATGCTCAGCCAGAGGCATGGAGACCACCATCTTATGGTAATCATGAGTAATACAGTAATATCTCCGTTAGCTGGAATCCCTCAAACCTGGAACTCTTCAATAGCTAGAATTGAAATTTTTTGAAGGGCACATTTTCTGGAAAATTCTGAAAAAAAATTTCCCGATACCTGGAAAATTCCGGGGATGGGGGAGTTTTTTCCAGGTTTGAGAGATGAAAATCAGGCGCAATTTCGGGAACTAACAAGAACATTTTTCCGTTACCCGGAAAATTCCGGGGATGAGGGATTTTTTCCGGCTTTGAAGGAGTTGTCTCGTTACCCGGAAATTTCTCGTTCCCGGAAGTGCTCTGCACCAATTGTTCTGGCTAACGGGGATATCACTATATTAGCCAGGGTCAAGGAGACTCACACCAAATTCAACACAAATTAAGAAAGAGTCAATTGTGTTTTCACGTTTGACAAAGATAATCAGTCCTTTTCATCATATAAAAAGTTGAACAGTACAGTTCTGTCTTGGCTTTTGAATTCCTGCAGAATATTATTACAATTTAACTTACAACATACAGTAAAAGGAAATAGCAAAGACCAGGGAGATGACAAAGATATGATAAATAACTGGTGATAAAAATAAAATGCCAGAGTTTTTATAATCTAATAAAATCTCAGTAATTATTCTCATTTCCAAAAATCTTTACACTCTAATAAATTGCTTCTAATATTAGGTAACTTATCTTCCTGAACAGATATTAAAGACAACCGTCTTAAGGTTGCCAAGATTATGGGTGCTGACCACACACTGCTGGTGAAGGGTAGTGATCCAAAGAGTCTAGCCAAGAAGGTGGTGGAAGTTATGGGCTGCATGCCAAATGTCACCCTGGAGTGTAGTGGGGTACAGTCCAGTGTTACCACTGGTATTTATGTAAGTTGGGATTTCTGTTGTACTATACAGTATATTAACTTTATAACACATCATATGTTTACACATTTATACATTTATGTACTGTACTATGTATACTGTACAGTGCTGTATAAAAAAAAATAGTTTTAGTAAAACATGTACTGTACTGCAGTCATCTAAGATTGATATGTCAGGGCTTTTTGAGTTGAAGCACTTACATGGTTTATCAGTATCAAGAAAACTGTTGCATTTAGTTGAAGTCAGAACAGTACTTTATGTACAAAAAGGTTCTTAAAAGGACAGTTTAGTTCAGAATGCTGTGCTATTTTTTTACATTTATGTACTATACAGTATGATTAATTTATTTACACTTTTTTATTCAGGCCACAAAGTCAGGTGGCATATTAATGCTAGTAGGTATTGGAGGAACTGACATGACACTGCCCATCACCCATGCTGCTGTGAGGGAAATATCCATCAAGGGGGTGTACCGCTACTTGAACTGGTAAGTATTATTTTTTATATTTCTAATTTATGATATTTATTTGGTGGATGCTAAAGATTATTTATGTGTCACCATCTTTTAATGCACCACTGTTGATGGGAGGCATAAACCAGCCTTTATGGTTTGCTAGGTTTCAAGACCCAATTGCCATCATTGGACAACTCAATACAGTCTCATTTGGTTAACGTCTGAAGGTTCTCAAAAAAGTTCTAAACAAAATATTTGCAGGTCTGTTTGTCTCAAAACATAGTACAGTATGACCCTGATCATCTTCCAAACTCAAAGTTCCAGTAAAGTACCTACTTCAAATTCCAAGTGCACCAAGAAATTCTTTGAACCCAAAGCCAGGCCTCTACACTTGGTGGAAAACACTGTCAACAGGCTGAAATATTTACCATAAATGCAATTCTTGGCTGAGGCTATACAGTAGGGGTTTGTAGGCCACCCATATTTGCAAAAACTGGAATACAAGGTACTTGAAACATCCATTGATGTTGGTTGCCATCCCTATAGCTTTCACGAATTGATGTTGGCTGCCACACAAGGGTTAAGACTGTGTGGATTCTAAATATAACTTCAAATGGTAAGGAAGTAAAATATTACAGTAATATACTGTACTCCTAATTCCTTCTAGGATATGTAGCAATCAGTGGTCAAACCTGACTGACAGCTTATCACTAGATATGAAATGAAAGTGCAGTGTGCATGCCTAGTGTGGCTTTATGACGTATTGGTCTCCTGTCTTAGGTGGAGATTTTAATCCAAAGAAAGAGATACAGTGTCACTGTGGAAATACAACTGGTCAATGGCATGGTGCATCAATAATCTAGGTTTTACCAGGATTTGTAACTTACTTAGAATAAGAAATAAAATAATTCTGGTTATTAACTAGTTTATAATACTTACTCTCATTCATTTTGGCTCTTTATCTCTTCAGCTACCCAATTGCCATTGACATGATTGCAAAAGGACTGATTAATGTTAAGCCACTCATCACCCACCGGTTCAAGCTTAACGAGTTCCAGAAAGCCTTTGACATGTTCCACACAGGTGAAGATGGAGCCATTAAGTGCATAATCTCTTGTGAGTAACTTGAGAAATAACAGAACAAGTCATACAATAAAAATTTATCCTTATAAACAAGTTTCATAAAACAGCCATGTTCTTGGTTTAAAAGTTTCTAGTTCTGTGATGTCAAGAGTCCTGGATTATTGTTCACAACACAAGAAAGAACCAGTGACTCTGTAGTTCTTGAAGCACAGAATGATTTAAGGATAATTGGAGAACAAATGGCCTTCATCTCCAAAAATTAAAAAAAATAATGGCATTTGTCCCTAGAAATTAAAAAAACAATTCATCATCTAGTACTACCACCTTAAGCAATTCCAGTAGAGATTACAGTACCCACATTTATGTCAGGGAATTGTGATCCCCCCAAAAAAAGGCCGGCATAAGCAAACCCAGGACCACAAATTATGAGTTTCATTAGTAAATGGGGATTATCTTCTCAGCCACACCTAAAGTCACCCTTTTAACAATATTTCTGTATTGTATATGTATTAAGTTTTCATCCCAAAACTAATACGGTCATGGAAAACAGTAAATGGCCATCTGCTGTCTGTCTTGAGTGGTCTATCCTGGGAGTTGTTTAATGTTGACAAATTCGTGTTGATAGCACAGAATTGAAGGTAGTGAAGAAACTTTAGAAATGGAAGGATGGATTGGATTTAATGGGTATGGTATAGAATGGAAAAAAAATCACGTTTAGTTGCGTGAATGAGGAACCCTTGGTGGAAATTGGAAAATGGCCGTGTGTAGTCTGTAAGAAAGGTGTTGGGTACAGAAAGGGTACAATGGTGTAAATAGCAGACTGCAAGATATTGCTGAATTTAAAATGTCCTGTATGTGCACATTGCTATGTGGCCTTAGTAAGGCTGGAGAAACTCAACATGGGAATATATATTTGAACTGTGTTGATGAGTTCTGTGACCTGGGTGACATGATCAGTACCGGAGGTGGTGCTGAAACCAACTCATTTGCAAGAGCCAAAATTGGCTGGAAGAAATTTAGGGAGATGTTGCCTTTATTGATGGTGAGAGGGCCTTCTCTTTTATGAAGGAAAGTTATATAGAGTACAACCAACGTGAGAAGTGTGATGTTGTATGGTAGTAAAACATGGGCATTTAAAGATGATTGCATACATAGGCTTGGGTGTGGTGAAATGAGGATGGGGAGATGGATGTGTTAATGTGACATTTGAAGATAGGAAATCCTGTTCAGAGCCAAGAGGTCAGTTGGGCTTTGGTGAGGTTCTGCTTAAAGGTTAGGCTCAGATGGTTTGTGAATGTATAGAGAATAGAGGAGACCAACCGGTCAAAAGATGCACGAGTTTGAATTTGAAGAGGTATGGGTAGGCCAGGAATGACTGGGGGGGGGGTAATAAACTTACCTCTGAGAAGAAATTTGACGAGAGAATGCAAGAGAATGTGCAGCATGGAGAGCTCCCATCAGGTAATTGCAGCTCACGCACTTAAGAGTAAAAAATGGCTATAAAACATTGATGATGATGATGATGACCCAACAGTACACCAAGAGCAAAAAGAAAGGCAAAGTAAAGAAGACACTACTCCATCTGGTGGTACAGTATTAAAATGAAAAAGTCACACAAAAAATTTTAAAACCAGTTATCTGGAAATCAAATAATAAAACCTACATTAATGCAACCCTTTTTGAGGACTGGTTTATTCTCCATTTTGTTATCAGTTGAAAAATATTTGATGAAAAAAAACATGGCATTGTACTGGGTCATTCTGTAGAGGTTGTTAATTTACATTCCACAGTACATGACGTTATATAGTGGTGCTTCTGCCCCTGAACACCACCTCCATATTCCAACCAATGAACCTGGTACAGTACTGTAGTAATTACCACTAAAAGAAATTTGAGGACCATGGCTGTACATGCATATATTTAATGAATCAACATATAAATGAGTTTATTGTGCCGTACAGTATTCACTATAGTCTGTTTACTTAAACTTTGCAACTGAGGCCTAGGGTCAGTTTGTAGCAAGGCAGCTGATTGGCTGGCAGATGGACACACTAAGAGTCACTACAGTTCTTTAGTATTTAATCTATTGTATTTATATTCTGATATTTTAAGGGATAATAACTTTTCTTTGTTGATCTCTGATAATTTTCAAACTTGGGAAAGGAAAAATTAGCATGTGAAATGCATTTATAATAAAAATATAAAGGGAACACAAACATGATGAGGAAATTCAGCGATGTAAACTCCCCCTCGCCTAGTGACATGCAGCAAGGTGACCAAACACGACGAGGATGTTACTGAAATTTTGTAATCTTGTTCTCTTCATGATATTTATGTTACCACTATGTTTCACAAGCTAAATTTTAATTCCCCGAGTCCAAAAATTACCCGAGATGAACACTGAATACTTATTATTCCTTAAAATATCAGAATATAAATATAATTTATAATACTACAAACCTGTAGTGACTCTTCATGTATCTATCTGCCAGCCAATCAATCAGCTGCCTTGGTACAACTGACCCTAGGCCTCAGTTGCAAAGGTAAAGTTAACAAGCAAGTATATTCATCCGATTTTGGTTTTCAATCCTTACAATTAACGTTTTTTCATAATTTCTGAAAATTTGGTGGACAGTTCAAAACACTCCTAATTTTGTCGGCAATCCTCTTGATAACACAGAGGCTGCCGAGTTGTTCACTTGGTATTCCTTGCCAAGCTTTCCAGCTTTTACAATATTTTAAAGACATTTTATCCTTAACTTAGTTTCTTGGGCTTCTTCAGGGGTCCTTTACTTGTAGAAAAGCTTGAAGAACACTTTGGGCGAGACAATTTCAGAGGCAAAACGATGAAATCAAGTAAATGAGCAGAACAAATGTTTACATTTAACAAACTCCTGGTGTGTTCTGGTGCACATGATGTTTTCCCGGTGCATTACACGTGGGAGGTGAAATACACGACACACACCAGTGTACATGTGAACATAAGCCCAGCACAAAGAAAACTTAGGTAGTAAAAAGTAAACTGTTTATATGCGAGACTCCAGTTCTTTCAAAGCTGGCACAAACAAGAGCTAATAAAATATAAAGTAAAGGTGATCATGGCATTATTGATACTGTAGTATGTATTATGTAAATTCATGATACAAACAACTTGATGAAATTATATTGAATGTAAGATCAAGAGTACATTGTAGTCAGGGTATGTTGAAGCCTACTGTACAATTTTTTTCTATCTGTACATGAAAAAGTCTTCACTGTGATACTACAGTAGGTAAGACACACAAGTCTAATTGTCCATGTCCTTATTCAATTGAATCGGGTTACCCATTCTTTTTTTATTTTTTATTTATTTATTTAAATAACACAAAAATGAGTTTGGATAAGGATTTATGCCCCCAGTCACATGCAAAGTTTAAAATTTCCATTTCATATCTACTGTAGAAATTATAAAATAGATCACTGGTTAAGTAAATGCAATACATTATGGTAAGATTGGCTTTATTTTCCTACAGGAGGTCATAACTTCCAGTCATACGAGTTACGCATTACAGTGATACCTCTTACAGGACAGGGGCACAATACCGTGGGGGGAAATGATATCAAATGGGAGGATAAATTATGACAAGGGAACACAACACATGTACTGCACTTTTGCTGTAGTAATGACAACACATAAGAGTTTTGTAATGGATATACTTAACTATGACTCGGGGAAAACAAGTACATAGAGAAAAAAATAATATACAGGTAGCCCTTGGAAATTAATATAAGGATCTTCAGCTAATCATGATCACAATTTTGTTAAAGATACAGAAACCAATCCTGCTCACACAACACTGACTTAATAAAAACTAAACTGACTCACGGCCAAAAGATCACTGTCAGGTACTTGGTTTACAACATAATAATTTGACGAATTTTAAAACTTGGAAATAAATACAAATTTTAACATTTAATGTGAGGAGTCAATGACAAGCAAGTGAATCACAAATGTTAACTCTGAAAAGCCAATTTTAATGACAGTCATAGTGATGGAACTGCTCTCAAAATACTCTACCTAAAATTTCATAATTGAGTAAATAAAAAATACATCACGTCTATGCTAAATGTTAACTCCAAGGATATGCTATATTGTATGTATGAAAAGAAAAGTAGTTCCCATAAAGGGACCTGTTTTATTCTGAAATACTGTCAATAGTACGTGAAGTCTGGTAATAACATCAGATGAGAAATAAAAAAAAATATCTGTATACTTCTGTACATTCCTGAATTTTACATAAATAAATGTACTTTAATGATAATAGCATTCTAAACAAAACCACTTGCAGATCTGCTAATACGACCAGATCAAATTAAAGTGAAGTTTAAGGATACTGTACAGTATTTTTTTTTGTCCTAAACAGGGGCCTCACCCTGCCCCTTTAGGGTCCACTGGAATATTGAACAGCCAGTAAGGTGATGAAGTGTCTGTATATAATACTATCACAAGGAAATTTTCATCAGCAGCTCTGATTAATACACAAGAGCAACCTGAAAATTATTATAAAAACTAGAATAACAGTATTTGTACAAACAAAAGATCAATAAACTATCTGCAGAGCTTTGCAAAAGCATACTATTAATGGAATAAAAAATTACTTCTGAAATAAACAAAAATCCATACTGTATTTCTAAAAAAAAAAAATAAACAAAATATAAAGTACTGTACCTACAGTTATGGTGTAAAGAAAAATGTCTTATGAATCTCTGGTAATAAAACTCCACAAATAATCCAACTTCCCTTTCTTTCGGCAAAAACTTTAAAGTTACTTTACAGGGTACTTCCATTTGATGAATGAAAGTCTCAAGAATTCTTAACTGTAAAATCACTGATTTCTTTGTCAAATGACAATTAAACAGCAAGTCAGCAAACCTCTATGTTAGACTCAAGAGGCCCTGGCATACTGTTGCATCACTTCACCAGAGGATTCATAAAATGAATTATAGCATAATACAGTGAACTATCATGACATATCACAGGGTCAGCACGAGGCAGTGTATTGTGGGCTGACTTGGGTAAGTTTAATATAGATAAAGTTGTCACTTAGACAAAAATAATGAAAATAATGATTTTATCGTGTTAACAATATTTTACTTTAATGTAACAGATCTTTCGGTTGGAAAATAAAATACTACATAAAATAAGTTAAGTTTCAACTTACTTATAACATTTAACTACATAATCTTCTCTAAATACCTAGTGCTGAATCTACAGTTTTATTCTTAGTCATATCTCAATGCACTAAGGATAGAAAATATAATTATAACAATTACTGCTTATTACTTCTGAAAACTTACAAGCATATCCATTTTGTGTAAAGCAGAAGCCAATCTATTGTGTCACGTCTGATGCTTATTATAAAATTAAAGCACTGCTCTTACCTACAACAAAACATTTTCTAAAGAAGATAAGAGCTATTTTCACACAGGACATTCACACTTTATATAAAGGACGGTTTTTAGCAAACATGATATCACTGCTATATTGTTGTACCCTATGGCTATATTTAACATAAGTGAAAAGAAACACAAAAAAAACATGATAAACATCTAATTTTACCAACAAAAATTACCATTTCATTTTTATAACCTGAAAAACCTTTATTAGCCACATCCACTAATGACAGAACATCCAAAGTCTGTTATTACCAGATTTAAGTAACCAACATTGTTTTAGAAAGCAGAAGAAGAATTGAACAGCCTATACTTGTGGACACAAAGGTGAAGGATGAGGGAGCCAGCGGTAAGTTTACAAGGTGCTACTTATCTATAGGCTTATGCTGACACAGCCGTTCTTACCATAGTATCTTCAAATAGAAAATAAAAATTCATCTGTTGAGGTCCTATCACTTCTATGTATAAAATCTAAAATCTTTTTATCATTACAATGCACACATAATGAGGACAGGAGATTATATATACACACACATATGTATATAATTGTGTCCTTAATGAATTTATGAAAAATGACCACATTAGCATTACTCACAACTCAGAACCAACTTCATACAGCTACTGTTCTTTACCTACACTGTATTGTGATGTTTTCCTTTGTGTGGTTTATATGCATAAGTTATCACAAGATGGAGGGGCACTCCCAACCCAGACAATTCCAACTTAGCAGCATTAGACAGCACCAGTTACAATGCCTGTATAATCAAGCAAAATATGTTTGGTCCAGCAAAGAGAAAGATCAGAATATATAAAAATGATCTACAGTATTGTCAAGAAAATGATTCTGTAGTCTTCTAATTTGCAAAAAGCAATAAATGAATTTTCAAGACTTAAAAAATCAGATACTTCAGTCAGAATAAAAATCACAATAAAAATTACAATAAATATCATTATATATACTATCATTTGAAATATAGCATTATGTCTATTGAGTGTAAACTTGATTTATAATAATTGAAAAAAATACCCCCTCCACAACAAGACAACAAAACCTTGATAATCAATGCAACACAAAAAGCGTGAAAAATTCAACATTCAAACTCTTTGTTTTCACCAGCACCAAATGCATACCATTAGTTCTACACAGTTTGTGACATTGTGAATTATCATTTACTACCATCACTACTGTTGTTCTGTCGCCAGTTCATCTGTATCACTATTCAGACTTTCCAGAGAAGTAAGCACCATTTAAAAATTAGGGCAATTTTTCAATGCGCCCTTCTCCGTCTCTCCTTACTGAAGGAAGCGTGAAAATGCCATGACATTTCTGCAACTGTAAACAGATAATGCCATGTCATATCTCTGCAGAACACAGCTAGTGTACTACAGAATCCGCCCTCACTTCGGCAATCACAATGCAATAGAGGTAATAAGTCACATTTTGTTGAGTTTTTCATCACTAATAAGTAGTAAGATGCTAGACAACACCTGTTTCATCCATAAGCGGTAAAGATGCTGCATCCATGCTATCATTTTGCTTGTGGCCTCTCTCATATCTCATTTCTAAACTGCTTCCTGTAATAATAACAATAAAAAACTAATTTTTAGAAAGAGAAAAAAGAAAGACATCTGCTCTGACTCATACAGTTGCCAAGATAAACTGCCTCCTCTTTAAAAGGTCGTTTGCAGTAAGTCCTAATTATGAGTTAAACCATCACATGAACAGACAATGGAATGGTTTATAAATCAGAAATTTTATGAATGGGAGAAATGAAACTCTTACTCATCCTTGTGAAACATGGAAAAGGCAAGTATAGAATGAGACACCAAGTGGATGCACATTAATTTAAATTCATATACACTGTTTACTCCTCATATCCCCAGATGTCCTTATCACCCCAAAGGAAATAACCTTAAATGTGTACAGCCTCTCAGTCACTAAGGCTGTATACAAAAATATAGTTAAATGAAAACAGTTGCCTAATCGTGAAATTTAATTGGACAAGCTTTATTACTGAACACATAAGGGATACTGAGGGGACCAATGTTTCTGTTACACTGTCATGAAAATCTGTAAATTGCTTCTAGAGTTACCATGTTAACATAGGGATAGGACACACATAATCCCATGCACTAGTTAAGGGAACATAATTTTGGGTGAAATGAAACACTTGAATGCTGTTAAAAGAATAGATAAACAGATGTGAATAAGCAATGATAAGTGTACAGGTGGAGGTTGGTTGAGAAAAAATAAATAAAATAAGATATATGGTTGGAAAGTGAGACTGAGAAAAACAATTGAGGTGGTTTGGTCATGTGGGAAAAGCAACTTAAATTTATCCTCGCCAGTTGCTGACCAATTTCAATAATTTCCAATTCCATCCACGATTTATGAGTGACCACTCAGCTTGCTTGAGCAGGTACATGCAAGATTAATATTACATAGGGGTTTTGTTTGCATAATAAACCTCAATACGAAGGATAGGTCGCTGACCTAACATCCAGGTTAACAAAAGAATAGTAAGAAAGTAATGGATCCTATTAGACATCAAAGGTTGAAGCAGACTGATGCAGTCTAAAGTAGTTTGGGTGATAAAGAACTTTTGAAATTTGCACAAAAGAAAAAAGATGAGTAAGAGTGAAAATATGCTGCACAGTGAATTGTGTATAACAGGAGTGGGTTAGTGAGGACTGCCTGCAGTAATAATAATAATAACAATAATTATAATAATAACTAAAAAAATTTTGGATAATTATTTTCCATAATAACCATCCTTCTTTTTTCAAATCTCTAATCCTGTCATAAACTAGTGAAATAAGCTCCATTATGGTTGCCATAGGCTTCACGGCCTATCATACAAACACTCTCTTCCCTGAATACATAGGACTTGAGTAATGCTATGGTTATGTCATACAGTACTTTATTTGTATAACTGCTCAATACTACATAACACCCTCAATATAACCATACACACTCTCCTCAGTATATTCTTTTATAAGTGTCAGATGAACATAAAACCATTCTATGTACGTGTTTATATCTTAGAGGTCTTGTTTTCTCGGTGAGTTAAGAGGCACATAAATAAACCTTCCCCCCCACTGTACTGTTTCTCTGGGGTTAACGGGTATACACCTGCAACAAAAGTTAAAAAATCATTACTATGACTTTCTACTGCACTATTTTCATACATGTCCTTACCTGATTGTTTTCGAGTTTTGACAGAAGCTCCTTCTGGTATAAATGCAGCTACCATGAGTGCACAGATGACCAATAATGCTCCAAATACAAAGGGTGGGCCCGGTACAAGGTTTGGACTACTGGTAATGTGTGGAGTTGTACCATTTCCGATAGATGACCCATTAGGCTGAAAATTAAAATTAGAGCCATGATTGAAACACATATATGATCCCAACAGCCAGAAAGTGTTAATAAAATATGGAAATGCACACTAGAAAACTTAAGTCAGTATACAATGGATGCATAAGAAGCCCAAATTTTTTTCATTGCAATATCTTGGATAATTTTTGTGTACTCCTGCTACCAAATAAAAGTAATTATGTACAATCGGGGATAAAAGTTCACTCCCCGCGGTGAAATTGAGTCATGGAAATGAGTCTCCGAACTTATTTACTCTGACTGATTTATCTCGTTTGGGGTCGCTCCTGCTTCATTTTGGGTGGGAGCGAACTTTTGAACCTGACTGTACGTGCAAACAGGTGCAAATCAATGTGTTCACCTGCATGTCTAGTACTCAGGAGGGATTGTGGGAATAAATAATAAATTTAATCTTCTTTTATCCTATGAATACAAACCAAAACACAACACCATAACTAGGTAATTTTTCAACTCCCGGTAGTTATAGTACCAGTTTATCTTCCCTTCTCTGGATTTTCATGAACTAGAAACTCTTATGGTCCAGACACTTTTAGGTTAGGTTAAGATATAGCACATAAAAAACTGTGTTAATTGTGTCGGAATATTAGGCACACAAATTAGGGGTTCAGAAAATTTTGTAAATAAACTCTATTGGCACACTTAATATTCATATATAATGAAATGCGATGGTGTGTGTTCCAAGACTTGATGCTAAAGTAAATACTGTGTACTCCATTTATCATACCAAAGACAATATAAAAAGTGCTTAAATTAAATAGGAAGATTCCTTCTTAATATTAGTTTGTAATTTGAGTCTGTGGATTTCATTTTTGGGTAAATACAAATGGTACCAGGTGTGACATATATCTGAAGGCCTAATTAATAATAATAAAAAAATGCACAAGACAATTTCTAAACACTATTGCCATCCAACATTATCCTTACTCTGTGTGAGCCATCATTTGCTAACTCTGGGGTGAGATCCACATGGAAGAGATAGAAGATGAAACCAAACACTGCGGGACCAAGGCCGGAACACAGCCCCCTCATGCCCGTAATGATACCCTGCACCACACCTGAAGTACAAGCAAACACATAATTAAGTCATGATACCTGGCAACTATGGCTAGAATTTATTTAAAGTCTAATTTTTTAGGGGGTTGATACCCATTTCTGGTCTTTGGTAACCCGACCCTCATTTCCCATAAGGAGTGAACTTTGATAAAATTTGATTAATTAATGTTCAAACCATTTTTGTAGTGAACCAGACATAAGTGAGGGATTACTGTACTGTACATACCTTGTTTATCAGCATCAGTGTGCGTGCTAACATAGGCACTAATGGCAGGGTATGTAATGGAAGATACAGATGCCAGAAGCCCGGCTGCCCACATCATCCAAATCTTGGAACCGAACCCATACCACATGAGCTGAAGCATCTCGAATACTAGTCCCACCTGTAGATAATTTACCCAAATTTATCTTTTGCACAAATTTCACAGGAATTTTGGAAAAATAATATACTGTATACAGTACTTTTAAATGTGCAATTAAGAGAATCTAAACTAAAATAAGAAATTACTGGAAAATCTGTACAAATTTTTATGAGTGTACTGTACCATTTTAAGTGTAAATAAAAGAATCTGAGCTGTGAACATGACCTTGACCTCTGACTGACTGGTGGACACATGAAAGAAGTAATCATAATAGCCCTTCTCCCTTCTGGGATGCAGATACAGTAGCACATCACTTTAAAAGCCTAATTTATTGCATAGAATGGTCTCAAACTGGTGAGGTAATCTTCGTGCTGTACCCGTCAGTGTGAGGGGATCTTAAGATTTGTAGAAGTTTCATTCAGTAATTCACAGTTGTTTCACAGCTTACAAAAATCACACACAATATTTGTCATTACTTAGGAATAACAAATTACTTGCCAAAATAATGCAAAAGGAATATACAATACACATTGTAGACAGGTGTGTGAAACAATTTTGCCTATTTTCACCTGGATTTTATGTTTACACTTTTTCAACCCTGCATAATAATTTGTTGTTTCTAAGTAACAGGCAATAATATGCATGCCTTTGCATGAAAACTCTGCTTAGTAGCTAATCACCATTAAATTGAAAGTTAACAAATCATGAAGTACAGCACTATAAATTGTCGTGTCTGCTTCTTTGCTGTTATTCTGTCCTTAATTTAATCTGAATATAGTCAATGGAGAATCTACAGTCTGGTCTTACAACATTCCAGATGTGCCAATGTATGGTAATTCAACATACTGTACTGTATTACTGTAGCAATAAATACACCACAATATAGTTAACACATAAATATCCAAACTCATTTTCTTACCATGATGACATGTTTGTTGGAGAGCTTCTTCATGAGGAGACTAAGGAGTGCAGTTTGAGCCACAACAGACAGGATCCCTACTACTGCTATGAAGGTTGCCACCCTTTCTGCTGAGAAGTCCATTACCTGCCAAGGTGTAATGTTGGCCATGTTTTAGATAAAGAGGTATCATAACATTCTCAAATATATAACATACAGTAAATCACAATCTATTCTATAAATTATGCACAATGAAGGAGAGGGTAAAGTCATGCAACCGTTCTGGCCTAACACAATTTTTTAAAGAGTTTGTTCCTGGTAGATAATAATAACACACCAGAGAAAAAAAATTGAGCATTATTTAACAGTAAACATAATGATAAGCACATTCTAAATTTGGCCCACATCCAAAACATCCTGTTGATGAGTCAAGCCACTAACAACTGGAAAATAGCCTCTTCTGGAGTGCATACATGAGAAATTATTTTATATCCCTGCACTATGATGAACTGTAAAACAAACAATACTGGGAAGTGGATAAAATAATTATTTGTGCGATGAATGTTAATTCACGTGAAGGGAAAGTACCGGGTAGCTTCTTTTAACTTGCTATTGTTCATTTTTACAGCCTGTTGCTCATTAACTTGCCCGTAATCATGGTTCCTAAGTGTACAGTGAGCTCTGGGTTGTATTTATTGATATACAGTAAAACATTTATCCCCCATGTTCAGTTATACCTAAAACCCAGCCCCCATTTTTTCCATGTCAGTATTCTTGAAGTGTTTTAAAGAATGTACCCAACATAAATATTAAGGGTAGAGAATATTTTTGTAAAAAAAAAAAAAAAAAAAAATGTCAATGGATAATTGCTGATGATAAAGGTGATATAATCTCTTTAATTCACTGAAAAGTTTTGTACAATAAGAATATTTATTTTCAGTGCTTAGTTTTGGACTAACACACAGTCACAATAATAGGATAAATTAATGAAGGATGGGTGTATGGTCTTACCAGCCTGAGGTAGACAAAGAAACAGGAATACTGGCCAGCCTCTGGTAGGTAGGACAGGAAGACCGAAACACTGATTAACAGCACATTGCGGTCTTTACCCACTTTCCACAAAGCCTGCAATAAACACATTACTGAATACACTTTAACATAAATATGGAAAAAAGGAAATAATTGGCTAATAAACAAAGTAAGAACATAAACTATCTAAAGGATGTCTAATTTATTTATTTTAATAAGTTAGAAATCTAAGTGCAAAATTCAATCACACACAAAAAGTGTGTACTATTGTGTTTAATAACATTTATTTTATTTTTTTTAATTCATACCAGCCATCTTCCTGCTACGATACAGAGTGGTTGGACAGATGTAGTTCTGATTCTTAACACTCCACAACTTATGTGCACAGTGTTTCTCCATCTTTGACACCAAGATGAGAATGACCATAGGCAGTCATCAGGTGGATCATCATCAAAATCTGACCAGATTACAGTAATCTATGGTGAAAATGGATAACACAGTCAGCTCTATTAAATTAACATTCAGTTGTACTATTATCAGACTGGCTGAAGGTCAACAGGTATCCATCATCATATTGACTTTAGTTACCAAGTGAGAAGCAGCCTTTGTTGATTGGTGAAGCCAACACACCACCATTCTCTAGGTTATTTCCAGAATAGCAACTACAAATAACAACTTCCCTGTGATATTCTTGCTCTGCCTTCTTGACACATCCCTCCGTCAATGAAACAAAACAATTATCAAGAGGACGACCCACTTACCCATTCTTACCCTCACACTGCAAACCTAGATACGTAAAACTTGCCAAGATGTAAATTTTCACTTTTCCTTATTCACCAAAATCCTACTTCACCAAGATCACCCAGAACCATCCTCATACCTCTGTAAGTTGCTTCTCAAAATAAATTTAAGTTCAACCAATTGTGAAGGCAGATAATGGAAAGTACTGTATTCCTTTATTTATGGATCATCTTCAAGAGGGAGGATTCTATATGGGAAGTACAGTATTCTCTAACCATCTCAAAAGTCAGATTTTTTTTAATCATTAAATATCATCAATAACAAAACCTTCTATATGTTAGCAGGTGTAATAGTCCTGTGTACACAACAGCAAAAGAGTAGAGAGAGATACACTTACTGTGAAAGGGTCAGCCTGTTCCCAGGAGATATGGGCACTCCATGATGATGATAATCTAAGCTTCTCTGGTAATGACTCAGGTACGGCCACAAGTATGAAGAACACATCCAATATTGCTATAGCTGTTGCCAGACCCACTACAAGGTCATCACTGTGCACCTGAAACAAATTATCAAGAAATTATGGCTGGAATATAAACCGCACGACTAAACAAGTTTACTGAAAGAAACACATAACATTAATTCTACTTTTACAGTATCTCAACATCACCAACACCTGTATTTATCTTTTTCCTGATTAAGAATGTATCTTTAGGTCTTCATAATACAGTAACTATTGTTATGACTCACACATACTTTTGGACATTGAATACAGTATACATATTATCACAACTATATCAAGTGGTTTTACAATATTGTATTAAACACGTCCTGTTTTACTTTAAACCTTCTATACTTATTTTTTCCTCATTGTTAACTCTATTTTCCATCCCAATACCTATTTTTAGAATTTAAATTTTTACAGTGTATTTTCATTAAAAAAAATACCATGGTGGGCCAGTTTTACACTTACATAAATTAACAAGTCTTCACTCTATCAGTAGTACTGTACACCTATTCTTAATTCTTTGATCACAACCTTTAAACTACTGAGCATCCTTCTGAGTACCCTTCTTTCCCTTTCTGATTTACTTCTCAAAATCATGATATTCTATTACCTGCAGTTAACCATCCAAGTTACCGAGATAAAATTTTTATTTGTGTTAATGTAACATAAAGAAACTATAAATATAAAGACCTTCTTTGCAAACACTAATAAAAAGATCACTACAGTATAATTCAGATTAAGAACTAAAGTACAGCACACTGTATTCCCTGTCATATGTGACTCTGATATACATATGAGTCTAGCAGGGTTTTGGCCAGATATTTGACTATAAGGGTAAAATGGTCAAGGGTTCAAAGTGCCACCACAATATCTGGTGACATACTGCAGCAACAAAATATATCTTTACCAAAACAAGTTAGTGGATGAAAGAAGCCTGTTGACTTAGACCACATTTGAGCCTCAATTCTTTGGCAGGCTATATAGCTTTAAGAAATGTGAGATACGAGTACTTTACCAGAGATGTGGGATGGGCATTTATGGGGATGGGCATTTATGGTGTGGGTAAGGTTAGGTTAGGTGAACCCTGCTATATGTTAAACAAAAGATAGTACTCCCTTACAGTGCCCAGGTAAGCTCCTAATGCTGGTGAAGTGACCAAGCTTGCAGCAAAAGTGGCTGAGACCAGGCCATAGGCACTGCTGCGCTCCGATTCATCAGTCACATCCGCAACATACGCAAAGACAATGCTAAAAGTAACTGCAAACACTCCTGACATGCTGATGAGGGCAAAGTACCACCTGCAATTATAAAGGACAAATATTAGTCTCAACATTTAGGTATTAAGGATATCAGATATTATCACATATTATGATGTTAATAAAGAATCTCTCTTGACACATGAATTTGAGGTGAACAATTACGAAAGGTAATATTTCCTATAAAATAATTATCTTTGTCAAATTCTGTATTCTCTAGTAATACTGTAATAGACTTAGGGCTGTGAAGGTAAGTCTTCAACACATATGTGCACCAGCAAACTTATTGCACTGGTTCTTTTTAAACACCTGGTATTATTATCATTAGTACAGTACATATATGCAGCTTCCTTGGCAGACTATCAATTTCAAACAAGGAAATCTATTACAATTTCTAAAATTAAGGTGAGCTGGGTATCCAAGTACTGTACATCCATATTGTCTTCTCCACCATATATCTTCCTTGTTTCCTGAGAGAAATTTAAGATCACTTCACTATGCTGCTTCGTCATAACAGCTGATTTTTTAAGTATTGTACGTACAGTGTGTTTATAAAGTGAGTTTGGGGTGGACTATAGGTTGGAGCCCATTGGTATACCACCTGTGTCTTGTTGAAGAGGTGGTGGGTAATTAGCAGATGATTACAGGAATATAAAAGAGTGAAAGAGAGAGAGAGAGACTCACCATGTGTTGATCTTCATGAATGGGATGGGGAGACAAGTGAAGAAGACGGTGATGAACAGGAAGAACTTGCGACCCCATAAGTCTGAGAGCGCGCCAATCAGTGGGGCACTCAGGAAGGACAGTATACCCTGCAAATAACCATTAAAATTAGTAACAGTAAATAAATAAAATCCAACATTGTTTCTCATACTTTGACAACACAGCACACATACTACAGTATACAGTACAGTATTGTTTCTCAATATCGATTTTTTGGGGGGTATTTACTTATGGTCCTTTATTATTATTATTATTATTATTATTATTATTATTATTATTATTATTATTATTATTATTATTATTATATATTTTCGCCCCCCAAGCCCTGCTGTGGGTCAATGACCTGTGCCCTGGTGGGTTAATCATATATATATATATATATATATATATATATATATATATATATATATATATATATATATATATATATATATATATATATATATATATATATATATATATATATATATATATATATATATATATATATATATATATATATATATATATATATATATATATATATATATATATATATATATATATATATATATATATATATATATATATATATATATGCAGTATAATATATTATATTGTACTGCATTAAAAAGTGTCTGCATAACCCAGAGGAGACGAGCAATTTCTGTGGGGGTCTTCTGAGTTGCAATGCTGAGAATACTACTAAAATTTATGGTATAATTTATCAACATAACTCTGCCATCTTGGCAACGGAGAAGACCTTCATCATAGACACTGTACTGTACTCTAATACTAAGTGATGCTCCAGCTTTATGCAACTCCCTTAATAGCTACAGTATTTAAATTGTTGTTGACTAGTGTACAGTGTTGACCAACATTTAAAGACCTAAGTTGTTTAGGTGCTGTACAGTATGACATTATAACATCAAATTTGAGCATCATGCCTGGGAATCCCATTTGGTAGTTAATCTCAGAATACCACACATCTGTGACTACATTATCTAACAACACAGGATGCAGCTGTGATAGGGCTGTAGTTTTACCGTGAACTCTGGCAGAGCTGTCACATGCTGACCAAAAAATTTGTGTAGATTCTTATCCCCAAATCCTGTAGACTTTGAGTACCATACAGTACAGTAATGCATTATTTTTCCACATATACAGTACTAATAAAGGATATTAAATGGTATTAAATCCTTGTTTTCTGTATTTTTTTTACTGTTTTAGTACTGTACTGTGCATCCAAAATCTTGCAGGAATCCAGATTTACCTGTAGATCTGGCACCTCTGCACTAAGGCATGTGGTACAGTACTGTATGGTGTCAAAATTGTTGGATGTTTGTATAAGTGCATGTGGTGCTATGAAGTGCAAAAGTGAGAACTATGCTAATAAAAAATTACTGGGGATAGTTCACTTGTCGCTCAAGATGCAATATAAATGACAACTTTGGCTAAGGTTCCCTCAAGTCCAACAGAAAAGCCCATGAACCAAAACAAAGATATGTTTTAAGTTAAGCATCTGCATTCACTACTCTACTTTCTGCCCCCACATTTTAAATTAGAATTTTAGTCAACAATCAAAGACTGTGTACAAGGGAAAAATTCATTTGACTAATAATAATAGAAAAAAAAATATTTGAATACTCTATAAGTGTATTCTGTACTGTATCTGTACTGTATAAAACTTCAGCTTCAGGAACACAATTTTCATTCAGGACACTTGGTTGGTACATTTACTCGGTGTTTCGCTTACAGTTCTCACACGACATGTCAGAAATACTGGTGAGAGGCAACTAACAACAGCATCTTAATTAAGTGAAACTGAATGTGGGTCATACAAGCTTGGTGGCCTGTTTAGGACAATATGGACACAGGATACTGAAAACTAAAACAAGGAGGACAGTATGGCAGACACTGTGTTCTACCTCCTCCACCTTCCCTACTGTAAAGTTAAGTACCTGTACTGTATACCTGTATTGTAATATACAGGACAACCACACAGGCCGGCACCTATACACCCATGTGAACGACCATTGCAATGTTTATGGCACTTGTCAGACCAGATGGACACAATTAGTTACAGCCTCAAAGAATAACATGTAACCTATAAGGGGTGCACCATGGAGATAACCCTGGCCATACAGTATGCCAACCAATCAGGGTAACAGAACATAAGGACCCTTGGAAAAACCCTACTCTGATTGGAGACTGAAAAGGCCTATTCAACAACAGGAAAGGCAGTGTTAGAAAAAGACAGACAGTTTGGCTGCGGAAGTGTTAGTGTGAGGTTCATGAGTGGCCCGGTAATGTGTACCTAATGTTTTCCTGTAATTTTGAGGGTGTATGGTGAGCTCCCTTTCTCCCCCACGGAATCTAGTTAGAAGTAGATCGAAAGTAGGTGACTTCATTGCACATCTTTGATGAATAACCTTAAAAGGGCAGATATCTCTTTCCACTACCCTTCCTAACTAATACATTAATCTAAAACAAAGAGACCCCAATAGCAGATGGATGGAGACTAGAATATATATATCTACAAAATCACATGACCCCTTTAAGTGACTACAGTACCGCCCGACTGAGTAAAATAAGTAGACCACCAACCTTGTTATAGTATGATACCAATAGAAAGGTACCATATAAAGACTAACCTCCATGGAAAGCTGGTCGACAAGGGTGCAGTACAACGTTTCAACTACTTAAAGTTTGATGCTTTCATCTTTATACACTCATCACCACACCTTGCCCTTAACTTTAACCCCACACATGCACCTCTCTTAAACCTCTCCCACTACCCACTCCTTCCTCTCCCACTACCTAGTCTTTCTCTCCCCTCCCACTACCTACTCCTTCCCCACCCTACCTCTCCCACTACCTACTCCTTCCCCACCCTTCCTCTCCCACTACCCACTCCTTCCCCTCCCTCTACCAAATCTCTATCCCCTCCTTCCAGACCCAAGTCAATTAGCGGTCCACCACCAGGACCAGCCATTCCGGTAGGGGCACAGATAATCCCTCAGCTGTGTCTCAATCTTTACTTTCTCTCACCATAAGGCTCCACACTGGCCTAAACCTCTCCCCTGGGCCTGTCACAATGTCCTCAACACAAAGGGGTAAGAGGTACAAAATAAAGTTACAATAATGCTATATGATTTATTAGAAAGTTCTTGTCTTAACCTAGATATCATGAAAATATACTTTAAAGCTACAGAAATAATTTTTTTAAAGGACCTTATTCCACTACATTTAGAATACATTATGTTCATACAGCAGAAAAAGGCAATGAAGTGGTGGAACACAGACACATTAAAGTGACATAGTACTATTGTGAGCCATGGTGGTGACACTATTGTACTCGCCCAACTACAGCTACTTCCCGACTTACGACCACCCGGACATACAACCGCCTCAGTCTTCCCCAAATTTTGTCAAATTACGTATTTTCGAGTCCCAACGTCAGTGATTGCGCTGTGTACTGACAAAATTTTCGTTTGTAATTCACTTTAAAATGACTGGCAAGCTTAAAAGTGAGAGTTTTGTGGTGCTGAGAAGAAAAAGAGACACCCATTTTAGATTTTCTATGTATTATTTAAGCATTTTCGACTTACAGCCAATTCGACTTACAACCTGGGTTTGGGTCCCTAACCCCGTCATAAGTCGGGGAGCAGCTGTATTTTAAACTTCCATTGCATCACCAAAAATAAAATACCATTTCTCCTATAAATACATATTATAAATGTCATGTGAAAAAATATAATAGAATAGACCATCTGATAATCCAATGCAATGGTAAATGAAACAGGAAAAGCTATAAAGAATGCAAAAATCAGTCACGCAGCTTGAAACTCAAAGATTTGTGGAGAGAGAGAGAGAGAGTTGTACTGTATACATAAAAAGTGCCATTACCTAACATTTTTCTCTCTCACCATTAAAAAAAAATCATATCTGTACCATCATCCTTTTTCTGCGAATAAAACGAATGAGAGGTGATGCATCTTCATATTTTTTTATCTTTTTTTAACAGTAACAGAAAATATATATAGGTCTAACGCACATAAATAGTGACAAAAAATCTTTCATGGCACACACACATCCCGGCATCTATTTTACGCAACTAAACCAATAAAAATATGGTTTTCCTGTGTACGGTAGTGGTGATGATCGAGGGCGTCACTTGGCCATTTTCTAAACATTCCGGGCAGCAAGTCCGAGGAACAATTCTGAATGTCGGGTTAAGTTTTAGTAACCTGACAAATGGATCCGTCAAACTCCATTAGCAGCTTGTACATTCGGGTTACCAATTAGTAACCGTAATGCCACAACTCAGGAGGGTTGGTAAGCCTGGGCAAGATAAATGTAAACAAATCAGCTTGATCTGTGGTGCCAAAATTGAATGCTGAAGTGCAAGTGGTGGCTATAAAGCTTCTTTTTCAAGAGAGAAGGTAACTTGTTTGATTGAAACACAAAAGAGAACACTAAATGACATGATAAAAGAGCACTAAACTGTACTGCACTGTTTTTTCCTCTTAATGGAGAATATAAAATCATAGTGTACAGTGAACCCTCGAAGATCCGGACTAAAAGGGGGGACCACCTGTCCAGAAAAGCCGATTGTCCGGATTTTCCGCCAAATAATAAATGATATAAGAAACACCAAAAATACAGTACTAATATAGTGATAAACAAATTACCGTATATAAACTATGCATTTACCTATGATAACATAATAAGAAACATTGTATCATTATTAGAGTGAATGAAATAATATTCCCACAAACAACAATTGTCAACTCTCTTTATGTTTCCCTCCTCCTCGGGCACCTGTGTCCAAGCAACTGATGGGTCAAGCAGCGCCCATAGGCCTAAAATGTTCTTTGCTCTGGTTTGGGAATATTTCTTAGGGAAACTTCTAGGAGGTTTCTTAGCCCAGAAGCCCCAAGTTTTTATCAGGATCTTCCGAAACCCGGATTTCCCGGGACCGGATCGTCGAAGGTTTACTGTACCCTGTAGTGTACTGTATTTTATTTTCGAAATTTTTTTATTCTTTAACTGTTCCTTCAGTTCTTGTAAAGACAATTACATTATTATTTCAGTCTATTTTGATGAA